ACCCTCTTGATGAATAGAGTATGATCTGACTGGGCCTGTACATAACCAAACTTCACAAGGGCTACTCTGAATCTATCGAACCAAGCCCTAGGTGACTGTTTCAAACCATACAAAGCCTTGTTGAGCTGGCAGACCTTCTTACTTGTTTCTGCATCATAGAATCTAGGAGGCAAACGCATGAAACTTCTTCCTGCAGATCTCCATTCAGAAAAGCATTTTTCACGTCCATTTGGTATAAAGGCYAAGTGTGACTTGCTGCAAGGGATAATAGGACTCGAATAGTGGTCATCTTGGCTACCGGGGCAAAGGTCTCCAAGTAATCTGTGCCATAAGTCTGTGTAAACCCTCTTGCAACTAACCGAGCTTTATACCTCTCAATGGATCCATCTGCATTATGCTTCACCGTAAATACCCATCTGCATCCAATTGGTTTCTTTCCTTTGGGCAGATCAACTACCTCCCAAGTGTTGTTTTTCAACAGGGCATCCATCTCAACTTGCATTGCATCTTTCCATTCMGGGACGGATAGGGCTTCTTGCATTGTTCTTGGAAAAGGGACATTGGAAATGGAACTAAGGTAGGACCTGTAGGTAGGAGATGGGCGATCATAGGATAAAAAATGGGAAATACAGTGGACTGTAGATGTGGTACAATGTCGTTTCCCTTTACGGACTACAATCGAAAGGTCAAGATCATCTGTAGGAGGTGAAATGGCAACAATAGAGGAAGTCTCTGTGGGCCCTGGGACTGTAGTACCTGGACCTGGAGCTGCAGATGAGATTGGAGCTGGCCTGGACTGCTAATGATCAGGATCAACCTACTAGCACCGCCTGTGATAGACCCTCAACTCCTGATCCCTCTGACCACCCTCACCATTGCAGCTCTCCCTCAACTCCTGATCCCTCTGACCACCCTCACCGTTGCAGCTCTCATCACCCAATGTAATAGGTAAAGGAACTGCCCCACTCTCACTATTCTCCCCCTGAAGATAAGGACTCAAACCCCCACTCTCACTGCTCTCCCCCTGAGGGGAAACCCAAGGATAATAGGGTGTCCCCTCAAAGAAAGTGATATCCATGGAGACAAACTTCCTCCCTGAGACAGGATCATAGCAGCAATAACCCTTTTGAGTTTGTGCATAACCAAGGAAGATGCATTTGGAGGCYTTGGGTTCGAACTTGGAGTGATGGGGTMCGAGAAGCTGAACAAAGCAGGTACAACCGAATGTCTTAAGGGGAA